CCGTTCAAAATTATTATTAAAACATAATTAACCAATTGTTGGAATTTTCAATTATAAAAATTTAATATTTTTTCATTCGCTCTACAATCAAGCTTGTAAAAGAAAAAATAACTATTTCGGATTATATCACGTATACATAAATAAATGCTTCGAATATAACATGTATATGTATATAGAGAGTAAAAGCATTTTTATTTGAACTATATATTATTATCTCCAAGTGATCACATTATTGTCGACTATTGCAAGCAACATCTTTCAAATTTATCTTAATAACAACCTGTCTAAAATATATTTCAAAAAGGATTGAAGACATGGAAAATGAAAATAATAGTTGCATTATCTGGCAAGATTTCAAAATTATATTTAGTTTTTTTTTTTCTTTCAGAATAGAGCAAGAAAATGTAAAGATAACATTAATGACTACGACGTTAACTTATTTACCTCGCAACTGAATTATTAAATGCTTTTATTAAAATTTAGATGTGATAATAGAGATTAAAATGAAAATAGTTAAACTAATGTAAATTCTACATGAATCTTATTCTATATACACACATACACACGCGCGCACATATATATATATATATATATATATATATATATATAGATATATATATAGATATATAGGTGCGTGTGTGTGTATGTATACGAAACTTGTTTTCGTTATTATTTACATGAGTTATTCCAATATGGGAGAAAAATGCTATTTTCGATTTTATTACGTCTGCACTCGCAACAGTCTATTTAGTTATTTTATAAAACAGATTCCAATAAGCTATTACACACTATCACAAAGTCTGAAAATAAAAACCATAAATTATGACGAGATTTTTCCTAAATATTTTTCCAAAGTAAATCTAGTATATTATTATTTCTTTTAAATAAACCTTTCTCTTTTCGATACATAATTTTCAATATATACATATATATATATATATATATATATATATATATATGTTATTATATTATATATAGATATATCAAATACAATATATATAGATAGATAGATAGATATATATTATAATTTATGTTTTATGCTTCGGAATTTTATATGATAATGAAAATCTGCACTCATAATAATTATATTTCGGTACTATTAAAAATGTACTATAACGTTTTTTTATTATATATTATATATAACAAATATACAACAATATTACATTTGCCGGTCTCTTTTATTTGTACGAACAAAAATGATGAATAATTATAATTTATTGTTGAGGTTTTTTTTCTTTTAGGATACAGTTACGATTATAATTATAATAAAAAATTATATTTATATACATAAATTTTGTTATACTCTTGATAATCAAATTTTAATTATTACTTGTATTTACATATAAAAAAAAAATATCAAAGAATTCTGTACAGTCGAATAATAAAATATTGGATCTAACATAATATATTTTTTTACACATTATTATTATTTTACAGGAAATTTAATTAATAAGTAAATAATTAATAAATTATGTATAATCTTGTAAGAGAAATTATTTTTTAGTAAACACATACATTTATTATTAAAAAATTTTATTTATTTATTCCGAGTCACTACCATACGAACCAATAAAAAATTATTCTATAAAATTTTTCTGTAACCGAATACGTGTCTAGTATTTTATTATTATTGGTGAAATTGAATCAACCATTTGCATTGTTTGCTCGATGATTAATTAACGAGCGAAACGTCACAAATGGACATTGCAATTTGCAAATATTGCGTGCAAAATTGAATCGACAGATGTAAAAAGAAGATGAAGATGAAAAGGATAGGAAGCGGAACAACGACCGGGAAATTGAGAATCAAGCAACGTGTAGAATATGAAAATTAAGTTGTGAAAAGTGAACGCGTGCCAAGTGGCAATTCCTAAGATTTCCGAAAGCTGCGCTAATGTGCGAATCAGATACGCGGGAACATCTGCTTCCTGAATAAGTTATAGTCGGTGGTTCAAGAAAGCTAGCACGTGCGCTAATTTCAAATTACATCCTACGAATAATTGCAGAAACACAACGAAGCCGAGATTTCTTGTTGCCTTGGATTATGTAGATAATATGAAAAGAGGATGAAAAGATGGAAGGACAAACGTATAAATGTGCTTTCCTCATTTAAGGGAACTGGCTGAAATGAAAAGACTCTCGTCAATCAGATCGAAATTTTAACAAATTGATGAACAAAATTTTATGTTTTGTGCGTGTGCGTGTGCGCATACAAAATAAAGTGACAGAGAGAGAGAGAGAGAGAGAGAGAGAGAGAGAGAGAAAGAGAGAGAGAGAGACTGAGAGATATACCTGTGATCCTTTTAATACAATAATTCTACGTAAGCTATCGGACATTCAAGAAAAGTGATGTTATTAGAAGAATTACTTCAGTAAAGGATAAGGAATTATGAGAATAGATGCTCCTTGTACATTGTCCTAGTTTGCCGCTCTGTCCTAGAATGCGTAATTATATCATAGGTACATATGAATTGTCATTGTCAGTCCCAGATTTAGCGTGCGCATGAAAGCGACAAATGACATATTATAGTTTAATATAATTACTATTATTTTTGTAGAACATTAGGGATAATTAGAAATAAGTTTTGAATACGCATTATATTTAATTAATTAAAAGCACAAATTTTTCACAAGGTATTAAATATTATATTCATTCTAATTATTCAATCGAGTTATGTTAATTAATAATTAATTATAAAATAATCTATTCTAATTAATTCAAATAATTATAAAACTTACGGAATAATTTATTGAAATTGCCTTATTTATAAACAAAATTACCGAACTTTTCGTTTTTTTCACGAATTAAAATTACAAATATAGTATAAACAATAAAAGGAGAAATTTTGAAAAGATAATAAAAATAGGATAAAGAGCTTAAACGAATGCAAGCTTGTAGTGAAAAATTTGCATAAAATGAATTACACAATTTTATTTAAAGGTTATACAAATTATCGTAATTGAATAATATCATTAGACTTTTTATCCGTATAAATGTATATGCGTATTTATATATATATATATATATATATATATTATTTGTATGTGGGTGTGCGCGCGCACGTGTGTACGTGTGCGTACATTACCTTTTATTACTTGACTTTTTGTGTATTATTTTTATATATTCAAAATAAAATAAAGCATAAGTTATCTCGATATTTTATTATATCCAATATCAAATTTCTATATCTATATAATGTATTTTTATAATTTAATAACGGAATTGATAAAAAATAAGATATTATTCAGTTAATACAAGCAACAAGAATACTGATTAAAAGTCAATATTATTTAAACATAAATTCTATAAAGCTAATATGCACATAGGGAGAGACGCGTAGGGAATGTGGAAATATTTTCTAAAAGATAGACGACGCTAGAAGCCTCTGCCTATGAAATCTTATGAATTAAAAAAGTCTCTCTATCGAGTGAGGAAAAAGTGAAAAGTATTGCTGATGTTCAATAAATAATGCAGGAATATGATATAATATTATGTCTATGTATATCTATATAATATAAGTCTAGTTAGACATTGTATATATGCATATTGATATACTGTTACATTACTTTTCGTACTCCGACAAGATATTTTTTAACTTCTTGCTCACATTCAAGAGCAAAACTTTTTTTATCCCCACATTTTCTTGAGTAATGGAGTTTTCAAACATTTATCTCTCATAAAGAATCTTCAAATATCGTCGACATTCTTAACCGAATAATTTACAATTCAGGACTAATTTTAAAGTCCCATAACGATTAAATTCACGTTTTATATCGAGATACGCAATAGATTTTGCATACGAAGAGTAATATGACATTATTGATGAAATTTATCTCTCTATCGAGCCTTTTTTCTTTATAAAAATTCATCAGCTCGTTCAATTAATTTAATTTATTCATTTTTCTCTGAATATCGTTGGAAAAGTGCCGACGAATTTACAAATCGACATATTTCTTTTGTGAATCTTCTTTCTCTCTTTCTTTTCTCGTGGGCGAAATGAATTTCATTACGCTCTAAAATCATACCTTTATCTCCTATCCGAGATTTTCGAATTTCTTTCTTTTCCAATACTAGAAACGGTTAGAGAACAATGAAAAACAAACACAAATACCTCCCAATCACTTTATTTCAATTAATTAAATTAACGTGGCCATTTGTTATGTTGTTCGCTAAAAACTTTAACCACGGTAAACACATTTCACTAAATATTTAAATATTATAAATGCCGATATTAATTAATGCCGGAGAGTTATTAATGGAGGACGATATAATCGAATTGAAATACTGCGACCGTGGAGCCAAAAAAATCAAAGATGTTATTCGGCCGATTGTAAATTAATTCTCTTAACGCGGAATTATAGCTTAATCAAATGCTATAGATTAATAATAAAAATGGTCCCTTCGAAAATTAAATCTCGTTTACGAGATTCGGACATTCGATTCCATTAGAGTGAAAAAAATCAAAAGCAAAAGCAAATAAAATGGAAATATGTATCTTGCGCTCGAACTGACCAACCGGCGCTCGACAAAACTGCATTGGTAATTCTCAAATTTTCTCATTAAGCTGCCCGCGTTTTTACAGCATCCACACACAATTTTACAATCGACAGTCAGAGACACGCCAATCGGCGATCACCGATCACCTAGACATCTAATAAACGAATTAAGGTCGCGAGTTTAAGCGACTCGGCTGAATAACCAATGAATATGGACTTTGAATTTGAACTCCGTTCTCCCGTATCTTAACGTTCTCCTCAAACTTTGTTGCCCGTGCCTTAAAACTTCAACACAATCCATAATTTTTGACGAGCTTATAAAAACTTTTAATAGGATTCAGATGCTCGGGCGACTCGACCATTACCGCGGGCTTAGAAATAAAGGGTCGAAGCGATAAAAGCCATCGGCATCCATTCAGCAGCCGCGCGATTACATTTCCTGGAATGCAACGAAGGCGGGACAGGATACGCAAGCCATGAAAAGCGCAATGATTTTCACTCACCCATTTTGTTGCCACTCCTACGGCGCACTCGCAGGCATATTGTTCTGGATTTGATGCACTGCAACAGACAATTATGTATGTGTGTGTGTATGTGTGTGTGTGAGAGAGAGAGAGAGAGGGAGAGAGAGAAGGGGGGGGGGCAGAGATGCATTAGACAGGCGGTGTACGCACTCGAACGCACGCGGCTCGAACGAATAATTTACGCGCGTCAGCGACACGATTTGGACGATGTCCAGACCCCCGCGGGCCACTCGGTTGGATCATTCCCGCAAGATGGCGTCTCACTGGCGATCTCCATAATTTTTAATAAGGTCACCAGTCCCGGCTCTTTGTTTTTTTTTTGTCCAGTCATTTTGCTCTTCTCCTCAAATCCAGAAAGGCTGTCTTTGTCGTCACCAGATGACAACGGACGTCTCCGTTACAGCCTTCTTTCGTATTTACGCGCGAGCGACGATGATATGAAAGAGTCAGGCACTAGCAGCGTGTCTCCCTTTTTTCCCCGACATATTGATAAAAGTCGAGAGCTCGTGTTGAAAAATCATGAGCTGGACCGAGCGGACGCTCGAACTATCCTTTGCGAATTCCGTAATGCACATTTTATGAAAGCCGAGGTTGAACGTTGATTTTTTTTTTTTAAAACTTTATTCATGTGCAATGCCTCGAGCTTTACGCGCGGTCTTGTAACTCAAAGATACAGAAGGAGAGAGAGAGAGAGAGAGAGAGAGAGAGAGAGAGAGCGCACAGAGCTTGTCAATGTAAATAACGAGGGGTCAAAATCGCTGAAGTAGTTACCTGATGTATGTGTTGTATGACCTCGGCGTGCGTCGCGTTCTCGAGGGTGCGTCCGTTGACCTCGAGAATCTCGTCGGTGATCTCCAAACTGTCCGCGTTGTCCGCTGGTGATCCTACAAACATATGTTAATGTGATTTTTCAATGTATCTCATAATATTAAAGCACTCGAAATAACTAAACGAGTTGCTATCAGGACGTATACTAATACCAATTCCTTTTTGCAGTCAAAGATTTTCACTTTGTTAAACAAAATGTCTCTTTTCAGTAGTAGAAAAGACAATTCTGCTTTTTCAAAATTACTTATTTAACCGTTACGATCGATCGAATAATTTTCTAATTCCTTTATTATACACAAATTGCATATTGTACCATAAAATTGTAATTTTACAGCATATCGATAGATATTTGACTCGAAATTTAACATTAAACTTATAAATTAAATGCAGAAAATTGTTGCTGGAGACACGAACCTCTTTTATTCATGAGAATAAAATCATAATTTTATAAAAATTTTATAATTATAAAAACAAAATAAACTGGAATCTTTCAACTTTCTCAAATAACATAATTTCTCGAATAATAAATTACTATTTAAAGTATTTATTATACATTAAAATGTGTACGTCTGCAGCAGTTAAGTATGTTCTTGTTATCACATTACATATCTTGAAAACTAATTATCATCTGGGACTTATAATTTATTACTGGTGTTACGTACGAAGAGCCAAGAATGATGATTTGAGCACCCATAGAAACAGAATTTTTTGCAATTTAAATAAGTTTAAATAGGCTTAATTAGATAAACATAGATAGACAAGTTCTTAATTATGTCATCAGCGAGTGGGAATCTCCCATGCGTCCAACATCAAATGAATCTCCATAATAAGCCGAATGTCCCTTCAACGATTGTTTATTGTCTATTTTATAATCCTCTGCATCCCTTCGCTGGTGAATATAATCAGTAAAGCTTTACGGGAAGTTCATGCATCTACGAACGTCTAAGTTTTGTCCAGTTTGGTAAGTACCTTACAGTCCTTATAAATGATAGTAGACTTTAGATAACAAAATTCTATCTAATATCGGATTTGAACCAAATTTATTAAGCGCAGTTAATAAGATTCGAATTTTAATAACAATATTGAAGTTATTTTTCAACGAAAATACTATTACACTCAAGCGTAAATCAAAACTGTTTTAAGGATTATAACATCAAAAGATGACACCTAAACCACACCTACAACAATTTAAAATAATTCTATTAAGAGACTCTAAAACTTGTGAATTCTAAGATGAATGTAAATAACTCGATCAATTGTGAAAATCTTTAAAAGGTTTTACGGGAAATTTCTAAAATTTCAATTATCACAAGATATATTTCTCAATTTTATATATATATATATATATATAAAGTATTATATAAAATAATTTGTTCAGAGATGCTGATAATAATATTAAATTAAGCTCCAAAACTTTTGTAATAAATTCCATATTGAACAAATAAAATGTCGCTAATGAAATGCTTTATCATGAAAATTTACGAAAATATCAAAATCCAGAAAGTTAATCAATTTAATTTGTCTTTTAAATTAATATTTTATCATTGGAATTACTCATTCTGAATTCATAAATACATTTAATGCTTTTTATACTGTACATTTAGTTTATTCAAAATCAGATTATGCAATTATATTTAGATTACCGCAGCACATATTATTATTTAATAAATTAAAAGATTAAATGATATTATTATTAAGGAATTATTGAAATTAAAAAAAAAAATATATAAAAATCGCAATCGCTATGGTAAACTATGGTCACTCTCCCTTTTTACAGTAAGTTTAATTAAATTAAATTGAAAAAATGGACAAAACGCTAAAATAGAAATAATTCGTAATAGGAGATTTATTTAAGATGAGAAATTATTGTATATCGGTTAAATATCTTAATCTCCAAGTTATTTATGAAAAGGCAGGGGAAAAAAAATTGACTAAGAGTTTAAAATTTAAAATTAAATTTTTGTGTCCTTTTCTTTTCTCTCTCTCTCTTTTTTCTTTTTTTTTCTTTTTTTTTTTTTCTTTTTTTTTATTTTTGAAGTACGAAGATTCTGAATATAATAATTCTGTTATTAAAACAGAATTTTATTCTAATAAGAGAGTAAAAAAAAAAAATTTAAGCCAAGGAATAATTGTTGCGGAAGAAGCAGCATACCTCGTGACGATAAGAAAAACTGTGATTCAATTTGTCTGAATATTTAATGGGATGTTGAGAATCAACTTTTGGGCTTAAAATGGAATCGGCTAGACTAAAATTCCTTGCAAAATTCCGTTAATTTCTGTAATAGTGTTTGTATAATAGTGCGGTATCCGCAAATGAAAAATCAGAGCGAATATAAATGAGAAAAGGCTATCTCATTATTTTCATGCTTCATTCTTCGCAGTCTACGGTCAAACATACTGAAAATCTTAAAAGAAAAAGCGGGAGAAAGAGGCTCTAAATAAAATAGCGAAAAAGAAAGAATAGCAAAAGAAGTGAAAAATGTATGGCAAATGATTCCTCCGAAGCAGTGGCTTTCGACTTATCTTAGAAATTTCCTCATTTTCCGTCAATAAAATTGCAGGAAGAACAAATTCCAACCACAGCCGTAAATACTGGAACAAGTGCAGGATAAAACTTAAGGAAAAAAAAAAAGAAAAGAAAAACGTATTGAGACGGAGCTCAAATAGTTGATGAGAAATTTAAAGAAAGTTTTTAAAAGTAAGTAGTATAAACGGACCGTCGAAATATTGAATTTTTCACGATATAACAATAATACATGGCAATTGAAAATATTATAAAGAAACGTTAAATGATAATTCAAAGTTGTCTCGCTTATCTTGTCTTATTTCCCTTTAGAGAAATTTCTCGTAGAGTTTCAGTTAAAATTTCTTGAAAATTTACAATAATTAAAATTTTCGTCCATCATTCATTATTATATGCTTTAATCACATAATGTTTTTCTTTTTTCCACCTATTTGCATGAATTTCTAATAAAATTTCATGTCCCATAAGAAGTTCAATATGATATCATTAAATACTGTAACTCATGCTCTTTTAAATCCTAAACTTGGAGCATAAATTCGTATTAAAGTCGCGTTACATAAAGCTAAAGTTATCGTTAATTATTCGTAATTGATTGAAGCGTAAGAATTCTTTAGAATTGACAGAAAGAAGATTTACAAAAAGATGTATGGAAAAAATTTCTATTAAACTTTACTTACCGTCACGTAAAATTTATTTCATTACTTAAGTCATGCATATTTATTCCAAAGTACTCGATTCCTTTAAGTAAAATCTACTTAACTGAAGAAGCTTAATTTTATTCGACTGATTAAGTAAATGTATTTATTTATATAATATCTAATTAGTATTCGCACATATTATTGAAAGACACGAGCGCGCTCATTTTTATAATTATTAGAACACACGTATTCATCAAGCGACATGCATAAACATGAGCGCAATTTATAAATTAATACTAGAAGAAATTGCCCTAAGCATCTCAATGCATTAATTTATGCTTGAAAGAATATTTGAGACATTCAATGTTTGATAGGCTAAAATATTTTTAATGTATAAATTATTTGTGGAATTGAAAAGTGTAATTGACGGGTGCCCCGTTTAATTAGGCCATTTTCCAAGTTACGAGCAATTATCGAAGATCATCGATAATTTAGCTGTAATTTAGTCGTAATTTCAGGCAATCTTTACTACAACATCGATTATCTATATAAATTAATATATAGAAATTAATTTGCCCTTAAGAGATAAAAATTAATGTCGAGCATTATTCATATAACAAACGTTTAACTTGACGTCTGAATATTCCGATTTCTAAATTTCTCTCAGCCCTCGGAGCCCGTAAAAATTCGAAAAAATTAACTATACTATTGAAATAAATTTCACGTATCTCGTATGAGATAAAATCCAGCCAGGATTTTCAAGTAATTTCTCCCGGTTATGCCTCTCGCGCGCTCTCAAAATTATAATTATCTGGGATATAGTCGTTCGCAAGTTAGTATTGAGCAATTTAACATTCAAGGAATTCTTCGTTTAATTTCGGCCATCAAGCCGTAAAATAGTAATATTTATAAAAACAAGTTAGATCTTGGTAAGTAGTAAGACAAGGAGCGCGGGTGTCGCGCGAGTTATGCGAAACGCTCGTATTGTAATCGCGCTAGCAAAATAACTACGTAGTAGCCTCGCCTTCGCCGTACAAAATCAGCGGCCGAAATTTTCTGTCTTCTCGCCCCTCGTCTCTTGTCACTCTTGACACTGCCCTTGCCTAGGATAGGAAATTGAGCTATAGGGAGCGCGAGCGCTTGATGATTGGTGCGAACGGGAGGGAGGGCGTAGAAGGGTCGAAAGACGAGTAGTAACCGGCGTTAGGGTCAGACGTGAGGCGACGGAAGCCCCGCTGCATCTATGCGAGTAATGGCATACGCGCGCAAAGCACCGCAATCATGAAGGACATAATCAAGGGCCGTTCCGGCGGATATTCCGTAGAATGTCGTGTCGTTATGGCTCCGCCGTCTTAGGAATAATGTCCCGAGGTATATGGGATGGGATGGTGTCGCGAGTGTGCGCTCCCAATAATTCCGTAGATTTGCGCGCGGATGGTAATTTATTTCGTTCTTTTGATTTATTGATTGAAGCGCCCCGAGAATCTTATCGTGATAATCGACTTTTCTCAAATTACTGCATAATGAGAGCAATGCGTGATTAATTATTTCACGATTGCATTTTAAATATGAGTGAGCGTAATTTTAGCCAATAAAGTGAGCCGTGAGCGTGCGAATCGAAGGAATACTTATTTATAAAACTAATGTCATTGCTTTATGCATTAGAAAGGAAATTTAGTCATCTTTTCTTTTTTTTCTTCTTTTTTTCATTATTCCGTGACATCGGACCATTTTGTTTAAAATTTTACAAACTACTTTTGCATCCGCAATTTAATAGTTGGCTCGAGGATCTTTAAAATACATAATTCTAATTATTTTTTAATGACACTTAAAAAGTTTTCACACAAATTAAAAAAAACTCGGTCAACCAAAAAATTTCTATTTTACATTATAG